TGCTCCAATATCCTGACTTCTTTCATCCATTTGTGTAAATCCACGACGGCTGGACATTCCACTTTTTTTTATATAAACACAAAGGTTTTTTCTCGTAAAAACTCAAGTAAGTTGTTATTAAGTATACAGGGTGCTCCATCAGGAATCGCCTCTATCGATATCTCGGAAAGTACTGATCCGATAAATCTGAAAATTTGGCAACCTAGCGAACGCAGTCAACAATATTTAAAACTTTTTGGTTATATCGGAAGTCGACATTAACCTTTTTATTTTAAATGGGACACCCTATATATTATTGCACCTTCGGATTCTACCTAAAATTTGGGAGCCACTTTATTAAACATTCCGTATACTTAGGAGTTGTAAAATTTGATATATTAATTTTTAAAGAAAAAATTTGACAGCTGCAAGGGTTCACGGAGATGCCTGAAAAGAGTTCACGAATTCTTTTCAGGAGCGTAATATCAACTGGATTTTTGGTACCTGTAAAGGGTAACACTAAATTATGGTATATAAACAAATTAAAACATTTAATACTATGTTTAATTTTTTCTGTTTCATTTTCATAACTTCAAACAACTTGGTTAACTTAAATGGAACACCCTGTATTGTTTTACTCTGTCGTATACAGATTGAAATTTCCTTTCTAGCCATATAAGCATTGTTAGGGTTGCCGTTACTACTTTTAGAGATATTTGCAATTTTGGGCAGTTTTTCTCGTGTCAGACCTGTTATCAAATTGGCCATGACCAAAAACTATTAAAATAACATGACATTTGTCAAGTTAGATGTCGAATTATTGTCGTGTTTGCAATAGTTTTTGTCGAAAATTTAAATAAAAATGTCTGGGGAGAAGACAATAAATTATAACTTATAACATAAAATTTTATATTTTTAAATTCTTTTGTCAATAAATGTTTATACTAATTTATTACAATTGTTTTTTAAAAAAAATAAACTAGTGTATTAATTTTCAAATTAAAATTTAAGTAAATAAAATATTTTATTAAAAATTTCTAATATTTTCTTAGCTTATATTTGTACCTTTTCGAATTTCTGGGGGGAGGGGGTCAGCTGCTTCCCCCTGTCCCCCTTGGCGACGCCCTTGCTTGGGGATCGTTTAAATTATAATAATGAGGATTATTTTAATTTGTTTGTTATTTTTGGACAATGTGACAAAGTAATTTCAAGAACATGTAGAAAATTATCTGCTTGTTCTCCAGAAAAACGAAGACGACTAGTGCCTTTATATTATTATATCACTATTATTGTTGGAATTATTATTTACTATTTTTAAACCCATTATATGGGTTTATGTTAGTTCAGTAAGGAGTTATGACTGAAAATGAAGCAAAGGAACCTACTATAGTTAGTTATTTCCGTATTTTCATCATGAGCAATAGGTATTTTTTAATTCTGTATAAGTTTTACATAGCGCAAGCTTTTAAGATTGTCCAGAAATTGCCTTCATGTTTTTCGTGAAGGTCAAATGAAGGTATCACTTGCTTTTGAAGTACAGGGAAATAATTTCTTGCCTTTTTTGACCAGTTCTGTATCTATGTCGATAAATGAGCTATAATTAAAGTGAAAACTACCCCTACATGAACTTTTCGGACGTAGAACCGATTGGAGATGTCTGTTTTTTTAGTCCTATGGTTATGTATCTACGATGTAAAAAATATATAATTTATGACCTTTTTTTTTAATATTTATGTACATACATACATACATTGAGGTACCTTAAAACCCTTTGACAAATTTGCAATTACATAAAAATTCCTCGAAATTAATGGAAATATGTTGATAAGGTCATCATAATACCTGGAAATATGTTGAAATAGAAAAGTTTCAAATATCTTGTAAATACCTTAAAAGGGTCAAGAACAGGAAGAGCGAATATTTATTTGAAAATACAAGGAAATTACCTAAAGTTTTCGTTTACACATTTTATTTACGACTGAGACTGTTCTCATAGGAACATGATCTTTTTGTGAGGTTAGGAAAAGACAAAATAGTTACGACAAATTTATTTATTTTAAAAGCGAATTTTATTAATTTACAGAATAGGCTTATAAACCTTACCGGAACATCTGTTGGAGGCTATTATGTATTAAGTATTTCGCAATCGAGTATCAAACAACATTTTCTCGAAAATTATATCCCACAGCTCAAAAATTATTAAAAATGTGAAGAAAATTTTTTGAAATTTTATTTAATTTAAAATTAAAATTAATTTATTTGAAATGTGTATATGTCATCTACAATTTACAGCACATATTTTAATATTAAATTGATTGGTAATTATATTGGTTATTAATTATTGTTAGAATTTATGATTCTGTTGATAATAACAAATAAAATGGTGAACTGATTCTATCATTTATAACTTCATTGATTTTTGTAGGGTAGATGTAAAAGATTTTACGTTCTGTAGACGAAAAACTGTTGTTTTGACACTTAATAAGAATGAAGTAAAAATAAAATTTTAAAGATGGTTTTCGAAAAACAATATTTTTGTTAATTGGAAATATATTTTTTTAATGTACTGAGAAAGGATATTTGATAACATCAGTCTTTCAAACTGCTCATTTCCCACTACTAAAAACATATGGGCGGTACTTTACCAATAAGTTCCATGACGTCACCACTCATCTACAGGCTGTCCAAAAATGGGTAACCGAGTTATAGCTATAGTTATAATCAAATATACTCGACGGCAGAAAATATAGATAGTGATTCATCGCTAGCTCTTGGACTAGTAAGGAGGATGAGGCGTGCGGGGATCGAAAATCCATAGGCGTGTATACGTAAAAGGCAACAAGATGTAGAAAATATGGAAAAAATATAATAAAACATAACATCTATTATTTTTAGAGGTTTTATCGAGAAAACTTCAAAAATATTTTAGTAACATTTTGTTTTTAAATTTTAAGTGTTTTCTATAAAACGATGCCCTCTTGGGCATCGATAACCCACCACCACCCGGCTTACGCCGCCGCAAAATATTGTAATGATTACTATTAATATATTTATTTAAGTAGGTACTTACATATTTTATAATAATTATCTCACGAATATTATCACTGTCACACTTTCACTTCACTGCCACATAATCACTTCACTATTAATATATTTAAATACTTACATATCACATTATTCACATTATATATTTCACATATCACTGTTGCTATCACTATCACTAGAATCATCTTCACCCAAATGAATAATGACTGGTTCTATGAACACTTCTACCGTTGTATCAAGATCCCACATACGTTGTTCCTCTTTCTGTGCATGTCCAATACACTTACACCATGTTTCAGCAGTGACGTGATTAATAGCATCCTGTAATAATAATTTCACGTCGTTTATTTTAAAGGTGGTGTTTTTTCGTGCGATTTCATTCTTTATTTGTGCCCAAACCAACTCAATTGGGTTTAATTCACAGTGGTATGGCGGTAAACGGAGTACACGAATTCCTCGATCTTTGGCCATCTCATCCACTACATACTTAATGTATTGACCTTTTTCTCTTTGGACAATTTTTAATAATTGTACTTTTAGCATGGTTTCTGTATATTCAATATTTTTCGATTGTAACCAGTCCATAATATTTCCTTTTCTCCATGCTGATGTCGGTAACATTTCAACTCTTCTACTATGATAAGGTGCGTTATCCATCACAACAACTGCTCCTGGCTCCAGATATGATAAAACATATTCAAACCATTTTTCAAACACGTCGCTGTTCATATCTTCATGATAATCTCCCGTTTTTCGTGACTCAAATACATGCAAACCATTTTCTAAAAATCCCGTATCGCTTCCAATATGTGTTATAATCAATCTTCGTCCTTTTCCAGAAGGTGCCTTTAATCCAGTAGAAAATCCATCTAAAAATGCTTGTCTCTTACTCTTAACATTACCATCCTGCCAAACTTTTGATACAGTATGACCTTCGTTTACCCATGTTTCATCCATGTAATATATCTTCTTACCAGATGCACGAAGTTCTCTTATTTTTTCTAAGTATTCTCTTCGCCATACCACAATTTCGTCTTTTTCAACGAGCATACTATTCCGATTCCGTTTCAAATATCGAAAATTCATGTCACGCATTATTCTTCTAAGAACCTTATCAGAGAAATTAGGAATATCCTCATCTTCAGCTATTGCAGCTTGAATTTTCTTTATCGTTGGTATTTCATTTCTAAAGAAAAATCCATGAATTTTCCTACGTATGGAGTATTTCACGTCAACGTCGACTTCTATTTTCTTCCTCCCTCGTGTTTCCACTTTTTTCTTCTTTGGATTCACTTCTACACTATTTTTTATGGCACGATAAACAGTAGCAACGGATACTTTTGTCAACGAACTACACATATCAACAGCTTCACTTACACTTGTATTAGAATTTCGCGACCGAATTCCTTTATACACGTTTTTTACCATTATTAATTCCGCATCGCATAGGTTAGGGCGTTTATGAGCAACAGACCGTTTGCTACAACCGGCACTTTGATCCATTTTAATTATTATTCCTACGTTTTAAAACGTCCCGATTGTATTTTTTTAATTTATAAATTTACTATAGTCACGGAATATGCAAACCCTCGCGCGCGCTTATAGTTTGACGTTTCTAACTACGGCTAACTCGAATTCTACGTACGTCCGTTTACACCCACTAAAAAGAGCATTTCCCTATCTGTAATAAGTGCGATAGACAGAGATAGGAAATAAATCGCGTTCAGTGTAACTCAGTCTATGACTGTTGTAGATCCTATCGATGTGCAAAGGGAGCGGCACATCATTTAACATAAGCAAATAATATTTAATCGTTATAAAAATCATTTTAAGTTTTAAACACTTTACGGTAATAGTGTATAAAAGTGTATCTATATTTTCGGCCGTCGAGTATAGACTGTATAACTAAATAAAAATTCTTGAACTATCTTATTAAGGGCTAGTGTTTATCTGTCTTTAACTAAGTCCTTACTTACCACTGCATAGTGAAAACATTCGTCAGTGGTGGCTCGTAGCTCCTAGTGCCGTCCTTGGCGGCATTCTGCAGGGTATCCAGATGCCTCGATAACCGCGGAAGTTTGCTCCTGAGGAGTTCCCTGAACACGGCCATGTCCACCGACAACCCCCTCAGGCTGTCCGCGAAGTAGGAGTCGGGAAGGACGCCCTCGATCAGGTAGATCATCAACTTCAGGGCGTCGCTTTCGCACTTGTCGGTAACCTGGAGGATCAGCGCTGCCAGCATATTGAAGCCCTGGCAGTAGCCTGCAAAAAGAAGACTGGTGTAGATTTTGATTTTTTTTGGGCTCTCTTTCGACTTCAATTCAATAGAACAGGAGAAAATAAATTGGTCTTCCAAACCGTTTCATGGTAATTTCATAATAATGTCAATCGGAAACACATAGAGATTTTTTACTGAGTAACAATGAACATTTGTACAATTTAATTTTTGTAAAAAAAAACCTTATTTTTTTTATTGTACCAAAGCTTAACAGGAAAACTCTTCAGCTGACCGTGAAACTCTCGAAAACGCATGGCCTGCTGAGCGGCCCGCTACCTGCCTGAAGGCTATTTCCTGGACGGGTGCTCACTTAAAGCTTCTTTTTATAACATACACGTTCTATACTATTAGTCCAACCAAATTACACTTGGAGAAAAAAAAATTGTTACCTGGACTTTTATAAGTGGAAATGGTAAAAGGGCTTATAATAAACCTAAATAAAATAAATGCGTTAGCAGGGGCGGCGGAGGGTTGATATGGGGGGCTGAAAAGTTATGAAAAATTGTATCATTTGGATTTCTGACGAAAGTTGACGTCAAACGAAAAAGTATCCAATATAAAAGTTGTAGATCATGCAAAAATCTACAACTTTTGTAGAAGTCACTTTTTAACATAACCTCAAAATTTCCGAGAAAAATGCTACAAACAGGTTTTTTTTCTGATTTTTCGTTTTTTATTTCTCATTTTCGAAAAAATAAGTTAATTTTGACGAAACTTAGTGAAAGTATACCTTTCTCTGTCTTAAATAACCTCAAATTTTTTTAGATAAAAAAATCAAGAAGTTTTTGAGACATTAATTTTTTTCGGATTGAAACACTTTTTTTTTTCAAGGAAAAATTGTACTAAAAAAAATCATCGTACAGGGTTCTGCCGGTAATCATTTTTTTGGTTTTGACATATACTTTTAGGTGAAATAAAAAAATCTGTGATAACAGTTCACATGCTCAAAACTGCAAAAAAATAAAAAATAACTTGCAACAATGAATTTTTCAATTGTTGTTGATAGTTTGTTTAAATTAAAGAACATTCAAAAATTGATTACACCACTCAATTCTACGGAAAAAAATAAAAAACTGTGTTTCATTGTTTGACCCAAAACTTTATTTTGTACAGTATTGCTATAAACATCTAAGACGAATTACAAATGCACAAATGATAAATTATCTCTGGATGATTTGAGATTTTAGCAATACAAAGTATTAACTGCAAAGTCTACTGTTGACGCGAAATCCGAAATCTCAAAATTTTGCAAAATCGTTTTTTTTCTGGCTTTATTTGAAAACGAATTTTCAATAAATTGCATATTTATTTTGCCACTTTTTTCGCTCTATCCAATGCCGTCAATATTTTTACAATTCGACGTTTCGTCTTCGATGGGCCATCATCAGATAATTTTTTTTAAATATATCGCTGCTATTGTTATGACAAAATCTAGTCATTTTTAATTCTGTATTGCAATCGCTTAAAAGGTTTTTAGCAGCTATCATTAAAAATTTTTCCTGAGTACGGCTCTGAACGCTTTCAAAATACCTGTATCTATTGGAGGAGAGAGAGAGAGAGAGAGAGAGAGAGAGAGAGAGAGAGAGAGAGAGAGAGAATAAAAGTCAATACAGCACAAAATATCCAAAAAATTTTTTGAATCCATAATTTAAAAAGTTGTACCTAATAAAAAAATAATACGAATTTATGAAATATTTTATTATTTCTAATTAGTATTGCTAACAGTAGTAAAAAATTGTTGGATATTTTGTGCGCTATTGACATTTATACTGTTATGACTTCATCCAATAGATATTTGGATAGAGCCGTACTCAGGAAAAATTTTAAATTATAGCTAAAACAAGCTAAAAACTGTTTAAGTAGTTACAATAGTAATATCCTCTAATTCAGAATTAAAAATGACTGGATTTTGTCATAAAAATAGCAGCGACGTGTTTAAAAAAATTAACCCGATGATGGCTCCTCGAAGACGAAACGTCGGATTGTAAAAATGTTGACGCCATTGTATAGAGCGAAAAAAGTGGCATTGTAAATATGTAATTTATTTTAAAATTTGTTTTCAAATAAAGCCAGAAAAAATTAAACAATTTTGCAAAATTTCGGGTTTTTCCGGATATCTCCGGAACTACCGCGAATTTTAAAACTTTCTAAACAGCATATTGTTAGGTATAAAAAAACACAACTTTTTTCTAATCTGAGACACCCCGTATTTCTTACCGTTTCCTAGATCCTAATGCCTATCCCATCTTTATCTTGGACACACTGTATATCTATGAATTCATCAAACGTTAAAAAAACTAAGTACACTAATCGATCCTACGGAAAAAAATATTATTTATTTTATTTATTCACTATTCGACTTATGTTTATAGCAATATTGTACAAAAATAGTTTTGGGTTAAACAATGAGACAGTTTTTTTTGTATTTTTTTGCGTACAATTGAACGGTGTAGTCAGTTCTTAATTTTTTTTTTAATTTAAACAAATTATCAACAATTACTGAAAAATTCATTGCTCCAAGTCATTTTTTACTTTTTTGCATTTTTGAGCATGTTTTTGAACTGTGATTACAATTTTTTTTATTTCATCAAAAAGTATATGTCAAAACGAAACAAAATATTACCGGCGGAACTCTGTGCGATGCTTTTTTAAGTAGAATTTCTCTTTGAAAAAAAGTGTTTCAGGCCGAAAAAAATGAATATCTCAGAAACTCGTTGATTTTTTTATCTAAATAAAATTTGAGGTTATTTAAGATAGAGAAAGGTATACTTTCACAAAGTTTCGACAAAATAAAATTATTTTTGCGGAAATGAGAAATAAAAAACGAACAATCAGAAAAAAACCTGTTTTTCGCATTTTTCTCGGAAATTTTGAGGTTATGTCAAACAACGACTTCTACAAAAGTTGTAGATTTTTGCATGATCTACAACTTTTGTATTAGATTTTTCGCCAGAAATCCCAATGATACAATTTTTCACAACTTTTCAACCCCCCAAATCAACCCTCCGCCGCCCCTGCTCACGCATTTATTTATTTTTTTCGTTTATTAAAAGCCCCTTTACCATTTCCACTTATAAAAGTACAGGTAACAATTTTCTTTTTTTTCCCCTCTAAATGGGTTATTTTGATCGGTCTATACTCATTAAAATCGATTTCACGTTTGGCACCTACCAAAAATTTTTTTTTAATATGATTTTCATACCGTTTAATACGAGCAGCTGAAGCGTTTGCCACCGGCATTTTTCTAGCTGAATGTGATTTTTTATCATTTACTAATATAAACAAAGTATACAAACAATTTTGGCTTTGGTGCTATCCTTACATATGTATGAAAATCAGCCTTGGTAAAATGACTATGTACTCTCAAAATGGCACGGGCTCCCAGACTATGTGTTCACTCACCCCAGTTCTTTACAGAGTACAAACAAAAATAACGTTTGGTAGTAGAATAAGATCGTGAAATATTGCTCACTAATTTCGGGACGCTATTCCCATTTGTAATTAGCATCAGGTAACTACCAGGAACGGCTCCCTCAGGGGATTTAACACATCATTAAGTGGTATTTCAGTGTACTATAAACTAATAATAGTTTGGTTAAGAGAATCCTCGCTATTAATCAAACGAATAAGAGGCGAAATTCTGTGCGCGAAAGGAACAATAAATCTAAGTTTGTCAAGGTTTGGCGGAGTTGCTGTAAGTGTGGTGGTGAGCTATTAAAAGCGGTAATTTTGTTAATGTAGTTGTCTAAAATCCTCGTTTCGCTTTGGACTAGTTTGGGATCCGGCTCGTGTTGCTTCTGCGAAGTCGTAGTCAAGAGGCGAGGAGTTTGTACAAAGCCACATTTTCATGACCGAGATGATGTACGCTCTAAATGTGGTCGTTGGTAAGGTCGATATTTTCACAGGAACTGCAATAAAGTTTGAGGAGGAGAGAAAAACTTTATTAGATGAAAAATAATGCAAAAATATTCATTTCGCTTTTACGTTATGAATAGTCACACACAGACCCACAAAAAAAGCTTTTTTTGTCGTAAAACGGACCATACTATTTCTACATATTTATGGCCACTGAATCTGAGAAACCTAACAAATCGCATGGAATATAACATAATCTATAACCACACATGGTGGTTCCAAAATAAAACAAGCAATTTTGTATTGATATTTAGAAACATTCATAATTAATATTCCAATCCGAATAGTTACTCATGTTAATTCCGTAAGAATTTTATTTTTATTTGTAAGTAGCTCTCAGCAATGGCTGATGATTTCCATCCACCATGTCGTTTTATTGTAATTAAACTACATCTGCTAACAAAGATGCCGAAGATCTTCGGAAACAATGGCCAGTAAATTGCTTCGGATCTGGCAATTTCAGAAATTCGGCAATATTAGTAGGAATTTTCCCAAAAGTATTTATCCCAACAGGTTGTACATTACATTTGTCATAATTTAGAAAATAGCGACATTGGATAATGGCGGCTGGCCTTATTGCAGCATATTTATGGTAATATTGCATGTAGCTTCCAACGATATATAAACTACGACGAACGTTGGTTTCAGTCTCCAAGATATGAATCAATAAGGACTTTTCTGATTTTTCAATACCTTCCAATGTTAATTTACAGAGCTTTTCAGGACGACGGCATGCTCCAAATAAACCAAAAATTGATGCAACTTTTATCATTAGATATTTGATGTCTGGAGCTTTATTCAAAATTGTATTAATTTGTCCGCTAAAAAATATTTTCGATTTTCTTGGCCGATATACTACACTTTTTCGTTTTAAAAATGCTATTAGCTTGTAATACTTCTTTATATCCACATTGTTCTTGGTTTGCAAGCTTTTATCATAGAGAAATAAAATTAGACCACAGTGTTGACGTCTTGTTGAAGTATATTTCCAGTGAACTTGACTGCAACTTTTTTCATTTTACAGCATTCAATAAGTCTTTTATATGCTATATCACATTTAGGCCAGGAA